AGCCTGTTTCATGGCTCGGGAGAGCAAAGTGAGGGACTACAGACCTGGGCAGAGAGAAATGCAGCCAGATGTCTGGAGAAAAAGCAAAGGCGGGCCCTTTTCTGCTCAGTTTTCTGGGTTTGGACGTCTCGCAGCTCAGAGGGGACTCGGCACAAGCCTGGGGACTCTACCCACAACCGCAACACAAGCAACAACAACCCTCAGGGGGAGAAGTTTGGATCCACGGCAGTGCAGCTCAGGCTTGTCATTACTTGAAGCCAAACTGGCTTTAGACACTAATCCACTGAACAATTTCCAGTTGTTATCAAAATCTATTGGACTTCTTAACCATGAGTCCCTGAGCTGATGTACCACCCCCCTCAGGTTCCAGTTCTCCGACTTGTTTGTTCAGAAATTATTTATTTGTCCTACAAATAGGAACAATGTTAAATTAACAAATGAAAACAAGATCAGTCGCACACCGTGCCTGATTTCCAAATGGATTTGGCTGCCTGAGCAGATCCTTCCCCTGCAGATAACCATTCTCCCAAATATCAATGCCGCTTTCCAGCCCCCCCCCATCAAATTTGGCTCCATGCTGCAGGCGCAGGCATCTGTGTGCATGTGTGTGTGCTCACACCTCCTGAAAAATCTCCTTCTTAGGCAGCCAGCTTCCCCTCGAGTCCCTGCGGGATGCTCTGCAGGGCTGAAAACCCATGGGATAAGTGGTTGCACTGTGATTCAGGGATGCTCCAGGTGGCTCAGACCCGTCCTCAATCCCAGCCCTCTGTACACTATCAGTGCTGCAATTCCTGCCTGGTGATTTGGTGAAAAGAGCCATGATTTAAAGTCAAAAGAAAAGTGAAGTTCCCTGCAACTGTGCAATTCATTATAAGGCTTGATTTAGCTCATCAAGAACAGGGTAACGAAAGGAAGGGCCCCAGACACCTCGCCTCATGTGCTCGTCTTGCCTGACACTAGACGGCTGGAAATGATCGGGTTCAAGGCTCGTTACCCTCAGCTCCTTTGACAGTAGGTAGGACACAATAGGCATCTCCAGAGGATGATTTGTCTGCACTATTCTTAGACACCTGCCCCGGGATGAGGTGAATCAGGCTCTGTGCTGCATGTTTCTTCCCATGGGCACAAAGTGAGCGCTGGGTGACGCAGGCTCAGACTTCATAACGTGGAGCTTCAAGTTTATCCTAAAATTCATCTACAAACTCTCACACGGGGACTTCCATGAGGCCAGCACAAAACCTGGTGTAACAGAAACTGCTTCTCCCTGTGACTTTGACTTTGCTGAGACCACCTCCTCCGCATTCAAACATCCAATGAAAGGCTCAAAGTGAGCAGCGTAAACTAGTTTAAACCTAGGTGAATGTTGGGCTTGACTCTTAGTTCATTCCGTCTTTATTCTCCACCAGTCCTGTCATTTCCCTGAGCCTTAATGCCATAGCAGCTTTAAATCTGTCTGTATGTGTATGTACATTAATGTCTAAGGTTTCTGACTATCCTTAAATCTTGCTTCTAATACCCTTACACAAGCACAGGGTTGGCTGAAATTGCCAGAAACATTATTTTGGTGGGTTGGGTGGGGACTGGGTGTTTCAGATATGAACAATATGTACGGCTGTATCACTGTGTAACTGGGAATTAAGCCTTTAAAGAAATGTTTAATAATGATTTTAAATGACTAAGAACTTGGTTAAAGAAGTTGGGGAATGAAACCTGAAATGCAAAGGGAGTGAAAAACTTCGTAAGCCTTAAAAAAAAACAGAAGCAAAGACCAGACAGACCATGGTTTCTCCAAAAAAGGAGAAAAGAACCAATCCAGAGGTTCAGTCACAGTCAGAAGCTTGCAAAAAAACAGATATTAAAACTAAACCAATAAAATCTGGAAAATTTGCTGTGAGGACAAAGAATGGCCCAACTCTCCCTTGTGGTGACTCCAAGCAGCAGCGGGATGTCCCAGCACGTAACGGCTAAGCACGGGCTCTGCGCTGCCAGGCATGCCTCGGCGCTCCCACCGACGCTCGCAGGCCGAGGCTGGCGGACACGGTTCCCCCTCGAGTGGTGAAGGCACAGGGAGCACTGAGCACCTGTAAATCACAGGGAAAACAAAATATCACTGATCTAATTTAGGAGGCACACTTGGGAGGCGAAGTGACTGCTCGCTTTTGCTCAGCCCAGCCATGAGGACGCAGCAGCGGGTGCGATTCCCAGCAGCTTCCAAAGGGGATGGCCAGTCCTCTGCTGGCACCTGCCTCCGTGCATCCAGCTCGGCTCAGTAGGGAGAGGGATGCACGTGTGCCCCGCACAAGGACAGGCACCGCGGGGGCTTGCCAAGCGCGGGCACAAACCCAGCTGCCACATGGGACAGGGAAGGAAGGAGCAGAGGATGAGCACGTTCGTGTTGTTGCTCGGGTTTGGTGTGTGCAGCACTAGTGCCAACGAACGGGGAGGGGGCAATGCGTGCGAGAGGTCTGAGGCTCCGCACTTGAGGCACAAACAGGAGGGCTCATGGCGGCAGCGGGGAGTTTTGAGTCAAGTGAACTCGCTCCTAATCCTCTTCTTCACAGTCTTTCTTGAGGGAGAAAATCTTATGACCCGGGGGAGAAGTACGTTGTGTAACTAAGCAATGGTGAAGCCGAGCTGCATTTAACAGGGCTTGGCACAAGCACGACAGGGTAGGATACTCATCCCGAGAGAGCGTGAGAGAGACCATCTCAGTGCATCGCCTGCCGGCTTCGAGTCCTTAAAAGCCCTGGTGTGGCCTTGGGAGAGGAGCTCAAGTGGGGGGGTGGGGGTGGGAGGGAAGAAGAAAAAAAGCCCCATAACCCTAAAGAAATCAGCTCACTGCGCGGGGCTTCCCTGCGGTTGTTGTTGAAGCATTGCGTAACGTCCCTTTGCACTGCGCAGAGCTTTGAAATCCACAGGATCAAAGCGGTATGGAGACACTATGGATGTGCCGAGATACATTTAAAGGCATTTTACAATTATAGCAAGAAGCACAAAGCCACGCTTCGGGCTCCTCTTGCTGTTCCACCGTGACATCTAGTGGCACCGCGCAGTTCTACTGATGAACCAGGGCGCGTGTTTCTGGTTGTAGGCCTACTCTTGCCCTCGTCTCCTGGACAGCTGCTCCCCATCGGACAGAGCGATGTCACGTACGGCGTTGGAAAAGGCTGGTTTGCCACTTTGTCCTATTGGATTCTTCCAGATTTAACAAGTTGGGATTTAAAGCTTTCACAGTGTGCAAGAGAGCGTTCCGCTGCCTAGGAGATATTGCCAGGTCTCCACATTTGTGTGCCTTGTCTTTGTTTCACAACTTTATGCCACAGGTGCTGAAAACAAACAAAAGGGACCATGGCTTAAAAAGTGTGATGATTTAAGGCAGCTTTTATTGAAAAAGGACGTGAGTTAAAATAAGAAGATCCGGGTCACAGCAGTGTCCGGTTGAAGGCCGGTCTTCCAGGTGTCCGAGGTCTGAATTTGCGGTTGTCACTGGGTAAATCTCGTTTGCGAACCATTCTCTAAATCGAATTGCTTCTCACACAGTCGGTTGGGTCTTTTGGTAGGAGCCGGGCAAAAATTTTTGCTCAGCCTGTTGCGTGAGATCAACAGCATGTGAGCTGGTGTCAACAAAATGCCACTGAGTCACAGCGTAACCTTTGTCACGCCAGTTACAAATGTCACCGCGGCTTGTGCGTGTCCCTGCTGCGCTCACGGGGGCGGCTGCGGGGATGCTGGGCGCTCGCTTAGGGCAAGAGAAGGGCTAGCCTGCGGGCCTCAGCCTCTCCCGACTGATTAAAAGGAAGATGATTGACTGCAACCCGAGTCCTAAATTAAACGGCAGGTTAAAAATAATGTCACTAATGAGAAGAGAAAGCAATACAAGAGAGGCAATGAAAAAAACCCAACACAACCCGGCTTAGTGCAAATTTCTCATTGGTGGCAGACACTGATGCCAAAATAGAAACGCTGGAGTTAAAAAGAGCTCCTCAGAACACACCGCAGTGATTTAATTAAGAGCGCGAGCAACGCGCCGGAGAGGGAAGGGCTGGGAATTAGGGGCACCAGGGCTGGGGGTGCCTGGGGAACCCCGAGAGCGTTTCGCTCCCAGCCCACGGCCTCCTGGTCCCCGCCCGGCCCCAGCCCACGGCGGGCCCCCCCCCCCAACGCCCGG